CCGAGCTTCTATTGATACTCCTGGATTTGCTTCGCGGGGAGTTTTGCGGAGGCGCTGTTGTTGTTTCCGTAGCGGTAGGGAGTCGGGACCGTAGTCGGCGTCAGTCCGAATTTCTTCGCGACAGTGCCTGCGTACTTTCCAGCGTGTAGGTAGAACGCCGAGTTGTCTTCGACGACATTTAGTCCCAAGTACTGGGTCACTGAGTCGGACACCGTGAGCGTCAGGTCCCCTTTCAGCTCCCCTTCGAACCAGGTGACGATGTCGGTGGTAGAACCGATGTAGAGCAGGTCGTCGACGTAGACTATGAGCAGAATGTAATCTCTTCCCTTCTGCAGTCGGTACATGCCTTGGTCATGTGGTAACTGTAGGAATCCGATTTTTACGAGCCGGCCGTGAAGGTGCGGCTGCCAGAGCTGTGGGGCTTGCTTGATCCCGTAAAGGGATTTTTCCAGCTGGCATACTTTTGAAGGGTCGTCGATGAATCCGTGGGGTTGTTCGACGAAGATTTCGGCGTCCACAGGTGCGTACAAGAAGGCGTTTGCGACGTCGATTTGCCATAGTGGTAGTTTCTTCGTGGCCGCGACGGCGAGTAGGATGCGCAGGGAGGTGTGACGGGAGACTGGGGCGAAGGTCTCTGTGTAGTCGGTTCCGTATCGTTGGTCGAAGCCTCGTACGACCCATCGCGCTTTAAAACGTTCGATGGAGCCGTCCGCGTTGGTCTTAATGTGGTACACCCATTTCCCCGAGAGAATGTTCCTCCCGTTGGTGTTGGTTGTCGGTACTAACTTCCATGTATTCCGGTCTTGGAGGGCTTTTAGCTCTTTTTCCATTGCTTCCTTCCATTCCGCCTTATGTTCCCCCCCCAGAGCCTGCGACAGGGTCGATGGCTCGCGCGGAGAAGCGGCGGCGGGTGCTGGACGGAGACCCATAGTCCTAGGATCTGCAGTCCCGTGGCTGTGTGTCGAGGGGAATTTTCATTCCCGGGATAAGCTGCTTCATCACCGTCTTCAGGATCGGGTAAGAAGTTTGGCCCGATGCGTTCGGAAATATTCGAGTCGACGGGGTGTGGTGTAGCGTAGCCTTGGTCAGCGAAGTGGTAAAAGGTGTCGAGGTTGTTGCTATCGAGGGGATTATCTTCATCGAGTGGAACAGGTACGGAGCAGTAGGGGAGTGGTCCGGCAGCCTCCGAGGCTCCAGGGACGTCTTCTTCTGCTGCGTCAGCCTCGGCAGCATGGTCAGCGAAGGAGCGAAGGCCCGCGAAGCCGTCGGTGGGGTCGTCTGAGTTGGCAATGTTGTCCAGGTAATGCTGCAGCGTCAGTCGCTCGTAGAAGATAACATCACGTGATGCCACCGTATTTTTGTCTTGTATGTCGAGAATCTTCCACGCGTGAAAATGTTTGGCGATGCCGAGGTGTAGTCCCCACCGAGCTCGTTGAGTGAAGCGTCCTGCTCGAGCTGTGTGGGGTCTGTATTGTACCATGCAGCCGAAAACTCGATGTAATTTTGTGCTGCCCCTTTTTCCCGTCCACAGCAGGTGTGGTGATGCGTTGTTGGGGAGCGATGACGAGGACAACAGGTTGTGCAGGTGGACTGCATGTGTCATCGCGTCTGGCCACAGTGTGTTGGGCAGTTTCATTCCCAGGAGCAGCTTTCGTATTGTCGTCTGCAAGGTCCGGTTCATGCGTTCTGCGACCCCCTGCTGCTGGTGAGCGTATGGTAGGGACACCAGGCGCCTGATTCCTCTTTCCGCCAGATAGGTCCTGAAGCGTTGTGACTGGTATTCCAGTGCGCCGTCTGACTGGAAACTTTTTAGCTTGGTTCCTGATTCCCGTTCGGCGATGGGGAGCCATGTTGTGAAGGCGTCGAAGGCTTGATCGCGCGTCTTGAGGTTGTAATGCCAAGTGTATCTTGTTGCTGCATCGACGAAGGTGATGACGTAGTTGAAGTCGGCTTCCGTGTCGTCTCGAGGCATGTTCAAGATGTCGCTGTAGACTTTTTCCATCGTTGCATATGCAGGCGCGCTTGGATTATGATGTGATGGGAAGGGTTGATGAGGAAGATCTGCTTCGGGGCACGTGAAGCACCGTGCGCGAGGTCGTCGAAGTTCTTGGCCGTTCGTTGTTAGGAGGGCGTTGCGTTCTAACACTTCGGCTTGGATGGTTTGTAGTGTTGTACTATTTGCAGGGTGCCCGAGGCGTTGGTGCCAGATGTCGTCGGGAGTGCGATGGCCGGGTGAGCGGTGGTATATGTCGGCGTTGGAGAAGAATGCGACGACTGTGGCGGGACTTCGACAGACTTCTCGTGTGATGGGCATAAGTTGATCTGCTTCGGTTGGCGGTCCTCGGACTGCCGGTGGTGGTACTCGGCTTGGTCCTGCTGCTGCTACTGCAGGTGATGGTTGGGACTGGACGCTTGTTGGTACTTGCCGTTCTTGTCTGATAACTGCTAATGCTCGTGTTCTTTCTGCTGCAGGTATGGTGTTGGAGTGCCAGAAGCCGTCACTGTCGAAGTCAGGATCAAGATCCGGCGGGTGTGTCCAGGCGGCGAACGATACGATACCGTCGCTGTCGGCAGTACCGCGGTCGGGGACAAAGTCCAACACGAAGACACCGGACTTCAGGAGGGCACGACCTATGAAGAGGCCGCCCTTCCCGTGGTAAAGCCGGAACTCGTTGGAGAAGGAGTCGCACTCCAGGTGAATCCCCTTGGCCATTAGTTGGCTTACGCTTAGTAGGTTGTATCCCAAGTTGTCGACGATGAGTACTTTGTTGAGCTGAAGTATTACGTTTGTCTCCATGGATTGTAACTGAACCACGCCTTGTCTGTTTGTCTTCAGGTTTTCGTTGTTGGCGACGGTGATGACGACGTCGCGGTTGAGCCGTTTCTCCTGTTGCACGAAGCGTCCCGAGGAGCACATGTGTAGACCGCAGCAGCTGTCCAGGAACCAGGTGTTTCGTCCGGTTGGTTCGGCGTTGGCGACCGCAGCGTACGTCGGATTGACTTGAAGTCCTTGTGAGCGTGGTGGCGGGAGCTCTTCTTCGTCTGGCGCGTAAGTGGGTGGTGAGCCGGGTGCACAGTTGTCGATGTGTACCATGCAATTGATAATGTTTGGTGTCTGTTGTGCAGATGTTGAAGAGCGTCTTGGGGGACTTGCTTGGGTTGAAGCAACTTGTGGGTCTGCTGGACGGTAAACGCGAGGGCGGTTGCAGTTGACCTTGGAGTGCCCGGAAGTCTGACAGTTGTGGCAGAACGGCGGCACAAAGGTAGTCCCTCTGTTGTCGCGCTCTTGCTTGCTGCGTCGATTGTAGGTGTTGTCGTTTCTTCGTTGAGTGTAGAAGACTAACTGGTGCTGCTTCCTTGGTTGTCTTTCTTCGAACAGGTCCATCTCCTGTTGTTCAGCGTGAAGCTCGGCGCAGAGGTGCATCTCCGAAATTCTTCCGTGGGCGCGAAGAAGTGATCGTGTGGTTCTCCATTCTGGCCCGAGCCCGGCGAGGACAAGTGTCACGAAGCTTTCTTCAGTGATTGTTCCTCCGCACCGAAGCAGGCGGTCGCGGAGAGTCTGGCATCGACTCATATATTGCATTGCCTTTTCCCCGGTCTTCATCTGTATTGTTGTCAGTTGTTGCATGAGTCTGCTTTGCGTCACGCTGTCGTTTGCTTAATAAAGGCACTTGAGATGATGCCATGCGAGTTCCGCGGAGTTCCCATAACTCCGATATGTTCTGATGCTCTGCTGTTCTTGTGGTGACAGGTTCCGCAGGAGGACTGTATACGCCAGCAGCGACTGATACGTGAAGATCTCTTGCTCCTTTCCAGTGCCGTTGCTTGGAAATGGCAGGGACCCGTTGAAGTATCCCAGAAGATGCGCGGCCTCCATCAGCAGCTCGAACTCGAAGCTCCAGGTAAAGAAGTCGTGTCCGTTGAACGGTGAGGATGTTTGTAACTTAATAACGTGTGAGAATTGAGCCTGAAGACTGAGAATCTCGTTTGGTGTTTGTTGTGATGCAGCTGCTGTTGGTTGGGCGCGGGGCGGCATGAACTCGAACGTCCCCGGTGAAGAATGATACGGCGCAAAGGTAGGCGCTTGGTTGTGTCGCCCGAAGGATGAGTTGTCGAGGCTCATCGGCGCTAATCCCATGTTTCCTCCATTGCTCTGTGTTGAATGCGCAGGTGTCCTTGTCTGCTGCTGCTGGTCGAAGTGCGACATGAAGCTGAAGAACCTTTCCATAAGGTTGGGGTCCACGCTTGAAGAGGGAGATGGAGTAACCATCTCTGGTACTCTTCCCGTTGTTTCTTGAGCAGTCCCGGTCTCTGTCTGCAGTCCTGAGGTGTGCAGACCAGAGTTGCCGTGTTGAGTTTCTTGGCCGCTGGGTGAGCCCGTAGAGACTTTCTTGCCCTTGCTGTCCATGTCTTGCAATCAATGAAGTCGTTGAATTGAGTTGAGTTGCAGGTTGGTGATAGAACGTAGTTACTGGGAGTTTGGTCTCTGACCAGCTCTCATACCATGTTGGGCTGAGAAAAGCCCTTGGGATCTTTCCAGAGACTAAGTCCCAGCTGTAGAGACTTTGAGACTTGGGGTAGTGCAGCGGAAGTTGAGGCAGTTGAACCCTTGTACTAGTATGTGAGAACAAGTGATAATAAAAAGGCAAACATACAGCAATATATAGAAGATAAGAAACAGTTGTAGAGTACAGTTGCAGTAGCGGTTTATCGAGTCGTACAACGACTCGATTGTCGCTTCGGTTACCATCCGTGCTGTTGTAACGGTCAGTCGCAACCTCCAGTTGCGACCCTTTGAGTCCCAAACCCTTCGTGTTCTTTGTCCGCCCCCTCGTGTAACCTCCGTTGACTCGCGTACCCCTTGCAATCTTCCTCGAGTGTAGTGTTACACTTCAGAAACGCTTAAGTATTTTGATGTACTTTCAACAAAATGCTTGAGTAGTGCAGCTGAAGTGTTGAGTAGTTGAACCCTTGCACTAGTATGTGAGAGCAAGTGATTGATTAAAGAAACAAGCATACAGCAATATATATAAATAAGAAATGAAGCAGTTGTAGAATATAGTTGAAGGGACGGTTATCGAGTCGCACAGCGACTCGATTGTCGGTTTGGTTACCACCCTTGCAGTCGCAACGGTCAATCACAACCTCCGGTTGCGACCCTTCGAGTCCCTTCGCCTTTTCATATTCTTTCGTCCAACCTCCTCGTGTAACCTCCGTTGACTCGCGTACCCGATACGACTTTCCTCGAGTGTAGTGTTACACTTCAGAAACGCTCAAGTCTTCGAGGTATTTCCAACAAGTGACTCAGTGGCCAAAGCAAGCCACACCACACTAACATCCGTCCTCCACTCCACTGCCTCCCTCTTGCCATACGCCTACTATCTACAGATATTGTCATCATCACGTGTTGCGCACAGCAGCCAGCCAGCTCCCGGCAGTGCTGCTCTATGAATTTCGGGCACCCATCAGCTGGAACAAACACCAACCTACTCTCCCCGGGAGGAAACTCAGCACATACCCCCTGCCCTCTTGCGCACTGCCATACAGCCACATGCGCACCCATGTGCCCCACTCCTGCATCATGTGATGGTGGCAGTGCTGCCCTATGAACCCCGGCCACAACAGTCAGCAGGACCAAGCTCCAGCTTACTCTGCGCCGGCACGAACTCGACCGGCCCCCTCCTGCGGCTCTTGAGTCGACCAAATAGCCGCCCGCCTGCGCGCTGCCATACAGCCACATGCGCACCCATGTGCCCCACTCCTGCATCATGTGATGGTGGCAGTGCTGCCCTATGAACCCCGGCCACAACAGTCAGCAGGACCAAGCTCCAGCTTACTCTGCGCCGGCACGAACTCGACCGGCCCCCTCCTGCGGCTCTTGAGTCGACCAAATAGCCGCCCGCCTGCGCGCTGCCATACAGCCACATGCGCACCTGCTCGACCTACTGTTGTCCTCAGCTGATTCCAATGGCAGCCAACTCCTGGCAGTGCTGCTCTATAAAGGCGGGGCACCCATCCGCAGCAGCCAGCTCCAGCCTGCTCTGCCCCGGCACGAACCGCAACACATAGTCCCCGCCCTCCTGCGCGCTGCCATACAGCCACGTCAGCATCTGGTCTGTGAATGTCAGCACGGACCCCGCCTCCCAGTAGTCTTTCCCCTTCACCCGCCTCGTCACCTCCCCCAGGCTCCACCGCTCCACCCCCACCAGCCGCCCGCGCGTGTCCCGGAACCCCACCACTATCGCCCCCACGCCGCCCACAAACGACTGGATCCACCACTTGAGCAGCTTGTCCCGCTCGAACCGCTCTCGCTGGCCCTCGGTTTCGGGCAGCAGGCTGGTCTTGAGCTCCAGGAAGATGCGCTCGGGCTTGGGTGGGCCGCTGCTGGGCTGCGGCATGTTGACCCACTCGTAGCAGTCCATCTCCGCACCCATCAGCACGCGGTGCGCACCCACTTTGGTCTTCAGCACCGCACAGAACTCCTCGTTAGCGTCTATCACCAGACTATCTTCCCCTCCTGCTCCAGCTTCCCCTGGGCCTGTTTTCCTTGCCTCCGTCGCCACCCGCTCGAAGGAGTACCCGTAGAACTCGAACCGCCGCTGCTGCTCCGACTTGTGCTGCTGCTGCTGCTGGTCCGCCGCCGTCTTGTGCACGTCCAGATACACCGAACCCAGCCGCTTGTGCACGCCCATTTCCCACGCGTCCTGGCGGTTGTAGCACACGCCCATGAGCTTGTTCAGGTTGTTGCGGAAGGTGACGAAGTGCAGGCGGTCGGGGGATGTGCCCGGCTGTAGCGCGGCTAGTTGGTGCTTCAGCACCGACCGCATTGCTCTTAGCACATCCGCGAACCCATTCTCACTGTCACCAACAGCAGCAGCAGCAGCAGCAGCACCATCTGTGCCATCACCACCCGCTTTCCCCTCCTCTCCCCCTTCCCCTCCCCCCACTCCCCCCCCATTCTCCCTCTTCTCCACAAACCCCTCAAACCCCTCGTTCAGATCCACCCCTCCCCACCCCCCCACCCCATCCCTGCCCAGAATAGCCGGTCTCAACCGCCTCAAACACCTCTCGTCCCAGAACACAGTGCCATCACCCAGCCGGCTGAAGCCCGCCAGGAGATTCGGCTTCTGGAAGGTGGGGAGCTTGGCGGCCTTGAGCGCGGCGTCGTGGTGGCCGCGCAGCCCCAGCACGGCCATGGACGCCAGGTTCGGGTTGTTGGCCGGGAGTACTTGGAACGCTGGCCCGGACGGCTGCCGCGGGCCCCCCATCCTCCCCATTCCCCCCATCCCCCCCATTCCGCCGCCGAATCTTCCGCCCCCCCGCCCTCCCCCGTGGCCTCCTCCTCTTTGGAATCCGCCACCCCCCCCCAAGTCGTCCCCCCAGCCTCTCCCCCCTCCGCCGCCTCCCCACCGCCCGCCTCCCCCGTGTCCCCCGCCTCTTCCGCCACCGAAGTCCCCCCCGCCTTGCCAGTACCGCCCCCGCCCGCCGTACCCCTGCCCGCGCTCTTCCCATCCGCCTCCGCCTCTCCCCCACCGCCCGCGCCCGCCCCTCCCCCGTCTGCCGAAGCCGCCGCCCGCACCCCCGTATGGACCCCCGCGGAGGGGTGAGTGGTCATGCGCGGAGTAGTCGGGGGGAGGGGGGGCGGGGATGTCCGCGGGTGTGATTGTACTGAAGGGCGTGGTGCGCGTGTACTCGTCATTGTCGGGCCCGAATAGATCGTCGGGCGGCGGGGGGACGAACGGCGAGGGCGGCATCACGGGCAGAGAGTGTTAGGGTGGAGAAGACCGTTTCAAGAATGCGACGGAACGGCCTAAAGGCTCCGGCAGTCAGGTGATGATCGGCCATTGACGGCCGGCAATATTCGGATAGCCATGCGCTCCGCTGGGATTTGGAGATCTCTAGCGGTGCGATGCGAGCCCGAGAGACTCAGGGAGTCCTACACAGCCCAAGAGACGGTATTTAGGTTTCAATACACCATCCCAAAATTGACCCATGCAAATTGTTCCCCCCAAGAGCCCCACAGATTACCTTGGGGTTTCACGCTTGGGGATAACCCGCGCGGCTCCGAGCAGGTCATGTAAGTAAATTCCCTTTTCCTTACTCGGCTCGACTACAGCGCGTACGCCCTCGAATCTCGGAAGTCCAGACCCGCCCAACTTCTCCGGCCCCTAACCACTTCGCGAACCCGAACCTAGACGCGCGGCGCTTCCGTAGCTTTCGCCAAACGGACCGCCCCAACCTGTTAGCTTGGTTCTCGGCTAGCTCTGTTCGTGCCTATAAATGCCTAGGCCTTCATTTGTATCGACACTCTTGAATCACGACTCCTTCATTAGAGTAGTCCGTTTATATCAGGAGAGGACCCGACAGAATAGACGGTTGGCCAGCGGTTGGTAGGTGAGGTCGTTAAAGCTCCTCCAACTAGAAGCACATGCACCCTCAGATCTGTCAGGCAAAATTTCCAACATGTCTATCACGCCGGAAACCTCTGCCCGTCGTAGTGTTAGGAACGTGACTCGGGAGGAGTTTGACGAGTTGCAAACCAGGGCGGCTATAGTGACGACACTACAGGTCCAGCTTCAACAACTCGCCGAAAAGTTCGAGTCGCTGGGAAGCGAAATGCAAACGCTGCGCAACGAAAACCCGTCGCTTCGCCAGACGCGGGGTGAAACACGCCAGGGGCAGCCTGTTACCCGAGACGAAGATGTTGCGAGCGAAGCGAAGGCGTCGGCGAAACCTGAAGTAGTTGAAGAAGTCCACAGCGAGCCGCGAACGGCCATTAAAATCAAACCTCTGATGCCACCGCCATTCAACCCGACCGACAGAACGACTACAGTGAGCGGTTGGCTGTTCGCCATGGAAATCTTCTTCACAGTAGCAAGTATTAATGACAACGCGTTACGTGTCAACTTAGCTGTGTCGTTGCTCAGGGGACCGGCACTCGACTGGTGGTGCATGCATCTGGACAAGGGAGGAGCCCTAGCAGGGAATCAACGGGCGGTAGATGGGGAGCACGGTTCATCAACGGCTCAAACATAATAGATAATTGGGTCGGCCACGATCCGCATGTGGAAAGCGTGGGGCGAAGCATTGAAGAGCCGATTCGAGCACATATCCTTCGTGAAAACGCTCACACAAGGCTTCGGATGTGGAGACAGTTGGGCTCTGTCAAAGAATACACGGCTTCGTTCTTGGCGCTATGCGATCAAATCGGAAGGCTTAGCGAAGACGAGAAGATCGATCGCAACGTGGGTGGTCTCAAGCCAGAGATTCAGCAAGAGATCGTCCTGCAAGCCCCGGCAACATTCAACGAAATCGTCTGAATCGCGAATGCGCTGGACGCAAGGCGTGGACTCGCGAGGGCGGGTTTCCAGGAGGGAAATCGCTTTTGAGGCCAGCCCCAACACACATCAATCAACGGCGTGGATGTGTTTGCAGCCCGGGTATTTTCTAGATGTTGTTTCCACTGCAACCAGCCGGGCCATATGGTGAGGGACTGCCCGCACCTGAAGAAAAACTTAGCTAACGACGAAAAGCATTCGGGAAATGGAGATTGTCAGTAGCAGATGGGCCACCTACTAACATGACTGCGTCACCCAAACACCACCACCCCCACCACGTTATAGTGCCGATTTGGGCTATCGACCATTCCTGGCTGAATCAGGGGGGTGAACCGGTTGATCGCCCTGTGCTGGTTGAAGGGAGAGTTGGCGACACCCGCATCAAAATATTTGTTAATGGTGGGGCAAGCCACAGTTTGATGGATGTGACAAAACCGAAGAAACTCCGATTTCAGCTAGAACACTGCGAGGAGGTTGATCCCTGCAAGGACGTGAAGTGCGCTACCAACTCCGTATGCAAGAAGGGCGTCTACGAGGAGGTTGATCCCTGCAAGGACGTGAAGTGTGCTGCTGGCTCCGTATGCAAGAAGGGCGTCTGTGAGGAGGCTGATCCATGGAAGGACGTGAGGTGCGCTACCGGCTCCTTATGCAAGAAGGGCGTCTACGAGGAGGTTGATCCCTGCAAGGACAAGAAGTGCGCTGCTGGCTCGTATGTAAGAAGGGCGTCTGCGAGGAGGTTGATCCCTACAAGGATGTGAAGTGCGCTGCCAGCTCCATATGCAAGATGGGCATCTGCGAGGAGATTGATCCCTACAAGGACGTCAAGTGCGCTGCGGGCTCCATATGCAAGAAGGGTGTCTTCAAACAGGTTGATCTCTGCAAGGACGTGAAGCGCGCTGCTGGCTCCGTATGCAAGAAAAGCGTCTGCGAGGAAGTTGATCCCTGCAAGGACGTGAAGTGCGCTGCCGGCTCCGTATACAAGAAAAGCATCTACGAGGAAGTTGATCCCTGTAAGGACGTGACGTGCGCTGCTGGCTCTGTATGCAAGAACGGCGTCTGCGAAAAGGTTGATCCCTCAAAGGACATGAAGTGTGCTGCCAGCTCTGAATGCAACAAGGGCGTCGGGGAGGAGGTTTATTTTGCAAGGACGTAATTACGCTGTCGGATCCATATGCAAGAAGGGCGTCTACGAGAGGTTGATCCCTGCAAGGACGTGAAGTGCGCTACCGGCTCCGTATGCAAGAAGGGTGTCTACGACGAGGTTGATCCGTGCAAGGACTTGAAGTGCGCTGCAGGCTCCGTATGCAAGAAGGGCGTCTGCGAGAAGGTTGATCCCTGCAAGGACGTGAAGTGCGCTGCTGGCTCCGTATGCAAGAAGGGTGTCTGCGTGGAGGTTGATCCCTACAAGAACATGAAGTGTGCTGCTGGGTCCATATGCAAGAAGGGCATCTGCGAGGAGGTTGATCCCTGCAAGGATGTGAAGTGCGCTGCTAGGTCTATATGCAAGAAGGTCATCTTTGAGGAGGTTGATCCCTGCAAGGACCTGAAGTGCGCTAAAGGCTCCGTATGCAAGGAGGTTGATCCCTACAAGGACATGAACTGTGCTACTGGGTCCATATGTAAGAAGGGCGTCTGCGAGGAGGTTGATCCCTGCAAGGACGTGAAGTGCGCTGCTGACTGTGTATGCAAGAACGGCGTCTTTGAGGAGGTTGATCCCTGCAAGGACGTGAAGTGCGCTGCTGGCTCCGTCTGCAAGGAGGGTGTCTACGAGGAGGCTGATCCCTAGAAGGACATGAACTCTGCTGCTAGCTCTGTGCGAGGAGGTTGATCCTTGCAAAACGTGATGTGCGCTGACGGCTCCGTATGCAAAAAGGGTGTGTACAAGGAGGTTGATCCTTGCAAGCACGTGAAGTACGCTTCCGGCTCCGTATACAGGAAGGGCGTCTGCGAGGAGGTTGATCCGTGCAAGGACGTGAAGTGCGCTGCTGGCTCACTATTCAACAATGGCGTCTGCAAGGAGCTTAATCCGTGCAAGGAGGTGAAGTGCGCTGCTGGCTCCGTATGCAAGAACAGCGTCTGCGAGGAGGTTCATCCCTCCAAGAACATGAAGTGCGCTGCCAGCTCTGTATGCAAGAAGGGCGTCTCCGAGAAGGTTGATCCCTGCAAGGACGTGAAGTGCGCTGTCAGCTCCGTATGCAATAAGGGGGTCTGCAACGAGGTTGATCCATGCCTCGACGTGAAGTGCGCTACCGGCTCCGTATGCAAGAAGGGTGTCTACGAAGAGGTTGATCCGTGCAAGGACGTGAAGTACGATGCTGGCTCCGTATGCAAGAAGGGCGTCTGCGAGGAGGCTGATCCTTGCAAGGACGTGATCTGCGCTGCTGCCTCTGTATGCAAGAAGGGCGTCGGCGAGGAGGCTGATCCATGCAAGGACGTGAAGTGCGATGCTGCGTCCACATGCAAGATGGGCGTCTTCAAGGGGGTTGATTCCTGCAAGGACGTGAAGTGCGCTGCTGGCTCTGTATGCAAGAAGGGTGTCTGCGAGGAGGTTGATCCCTGCAAGGACATGAAGTGCGCTAGTGGCTCCGTATGCAAGAAAGGCGTTTGCTACGAGGTTGATCCCTCCAACGAGATGAAGTGTGCTGTCGGCTCTGTATGCAAGAAGGGCGTCTGTGAGGAGGTTGATTTTGCAAGAACGCAAGTGCGCTGCCGGCTCCGTATGCAAGAAGGGCGTCTGCGAGGAGGTTGATCCCTACAAGGACGTGAAGTGCGCTGCCGGCTCTGTATGCAAGGGCGTCTGTGAGGAGGCTGATCCCTGCAAAGACGTGAAGTGCGCTGTTGGCTCCGTATGCTAGAAGGGCGTCTGCCAGGAGGCTGATCCCTGCAAGGACGGCTACTGCGCTGCTGGCTCCGAATGCAAGAAGGGCATCTACGAGGAGGTTGATCCCTGCAAGGACGTGAAGTGCGCCGCTGTCTCGGTATGCAAGAAGGGCGTCTGCGAGGAGGCTGCTCCCTTCAAGGACGTGGAGTGCGCTGCTGGCTCCGTATGCCAGTAGGGCGTCTTTGAGGAGGTTGATCCCTGCAAGGACGTGAATTGCAGTGCCGGCTCCGTATGCAAGAAGTGTCACAGGATCGAATGTGTCGAGGAAAGGTTGCACTATCGATTGATACAAGGTGCTGTTATTCTTCCAAAGTACATTAGGTAACCAGGTTTATCCCAAGGGAATAGACCCTTCTAGAAAATAGAATCACCCTGCGTATAGCCACGCGAGGCTATTGGCTTTAAGGGATTACAGCAGGATTGCGGTGGATAGAGCGTGCCAGTACACTGAGAGAAAAAACCGTCCGGATGTTTGGCACTAAGTTGGGTTTTTAGGCTTTGAGACTACTGTATGGTAAACCTGCAAGATGCACGGTGGTACACGTTGGGAGAGGCACAAAGTGGATGCGTTCACATCACTAAGAACTAGAGTAGTACATTGGATCTAACTCATACTCCAAAAGATATACAACGAGTACATCCGGACAGTTTTTTCCCAGGACAAAGAGCAAACTTCCGAACAGCGTTTCTAGTAACTAGTCCACCTACTTTTGGCGTTGATCACCACCTGCACCCTCTTAGGCATGTTATCTACGA